TTACCATTTGTTACTTTCCACAGATCCACATAGATCGTGTAAGCCCAAGAGCTGCAAAGTTAGAAAAAGGTTCTTAGTGGTATTGGCCACTAGAATGGACATTTATAAAACTTAAATGATGTCATTATCAGTTGCAATATCAAGGAAGTGTGGCTAAAAGTCTGAAAATTGCTTATAATTGCCACACACTTGATAAGCGATTTTCTTCTCTACTGAATATGTTGTAAGCTGTGGAAGACATGAACGTGTCCATGGCAAAAATGGAAGCTTCAGTGATGTCGGACAGGCTCCTTGATTTTAGACTTTGACTGGAACCCGCACACAGGATTGGGACAAGGTGTTAGTTTAGACCTCTCAAAAGTGAGAGAGTTTACTGCAAAGGGGCAGTGAAGTCTATATTCACCTCGATTTTTTTTTTCACCTGAGCTCTTGTCACAAAGAATCTTCAGAGAACATTTTCTGTATGGAGCAGCGTCTCACGGGGGTTGGAAGGACAAGAGGGAGCTGCTGATGCCCAAGGGAGAATCTGCTGGGAGACATGAACATCTCCTGCGCTGACCGTCTTGCAGAATGTGCAGCCCTGAGCGGGCAGGGTGCTTTTCTAAACGGATTGTCCTGGTTTGGGGACCTTGGCTTCACTTTTGCTGCCGTCTTGTCTGGGGCCAGAGCTTCAGTCTCCATCTCCAGGTCTCCAGCCTGTGTCCAAGGTGAAGGGTAATCGCTCACCTTTAAGTGGTAGACGCGGAAGCTGAATTAAAAGTGGGATGGAAGAAATAACGATGCTCCAGTTAACTCTGAGAATATGTCCAGGGATCCCTGCCATCCCTGGAGTGTAGACACAGGCCGTCCCCTGTGCGGGGACAGAGTCTGACGTGTGCTGTTTCTCCTCGTCTTTATGATGTGCACTGTAGGCTGTGTTTCATTTGTAGCAGCTTTGCATCGGAGAGTTCTGGACCAGAGTTATCCTTGAAGATCCAACCTTGCAGTATCGGTACAGCAGGTACTGTCCACATTTTCAGTTATTTCCCTCATGTGAGAAGTCAGATGAGAACCTTTAGTAGATTAAAAAGGATATTGTGGTAATAAACTTTGCTGGAAGTTATTTTCTCGCTGCTGACCCTGAATGTATCTGTGGGTTTGTTAGCAATTCCCTGTATAGCAGACTGTCCCTGTAAAATCTTCGCTTTTGCACAGTGGGGGGGGAGTACTCTTTTTAATGACACTTCTGGTTTTATTTTATGAAAAACTAAAATTCATAACAAAATGATTTTAGGATAACAATACTCAGTATACTACGTATTATATTTTCAGTTATTCAGGGGAGAAGGTGTAAACCAAAGAGAGTCTTACAAAAAAAGGAAGAAACACACAATACCACAACTGCTTTTCTCCACACATATGAATTGGGGATTTTTACCACCTTCACTGTTTGCCTTTTAGCTTTTAAAATTGTGTGTAAGTTGCTGGTGGAAATATATACATATTTGAATTTTTCCTGATCTATTTTTACAAGGCACATTATTCTGGTCATCACCTAGAAGACATTGCATTCATTTGAATAAAGCTTGTGTTTGTTTCTGAAATACATTTAACACATACACAGTTAGAAAGAATTATTGATTTTTCTGGTGTTGGAGATTGAATCGGAGCCTGTGTACCCCTGAAATACATCCGCCTAAAATGATATATGCAGATACTTTAACTCAGCTGTATGTTAGTTTCTTACAGGTCTTTGGTTACTGTGGTTCTTATCCATAACCATTTTGCATCTTTAATAGCAATGTTTTTACACTGCTCTGTGTGACCTGCTTTAGTCTCCCCGTCTCACTGTTTCTCTCATAGCTTCTCCTTTTCCTTAAATTTGCTTTGTACACAGCACCTGTATTCCTGGCACCCAGGAGTTACTTGTGGAAATACAAAACAGAACATGTGTGTAAAATTCTCTCATTTGAATCTAGAAGTGTAAAGGCAGAGCCACTGTGTGAGGGGATGGGTGTGTGTGCCCTGATGTCCTCCGGGCTTAATCACACTGAGGAAGGTTTTCAGTGTGAAGGAACAGACTCCAGGGTGCCACCACATAGAAGTTATGCAGAACACGGGGAAACACATGCTCTTTGGGAATGATCAGAATGCAGACTTCAGTGCAGCACATCGATGAGCATTTGCAAAAATAGAGACAGAGACAGAAAGAGAGCGAGACAGAGACATAGAGAGAGGAAGACAGACAGATCAAAACCCAAAGCCTCACAAGGACAGGGAGTAAATGCTGGAAGTAAAAATTCACAGATGGGATTCTTGAGTTACAATGGGACCAGATACACACGAGTCCTCCAGACAAACGCGGAACGGACAGAGGAGCTCTGTCTTCATTTCTTATGAAATGCTTAAAACCAGAAGCTCTTCGTCCGTTTTTCCCTTGTGAATGCTTGGCTTATTCCTTTTGCCCACTTTTCTCCTGAGCTGTTCAGTCTGTAGACGCTGGACACTAAAAGCACAGTAGAACCGTTTCTCCTGGAAACCTTTGTTGCTGCCCTTTGTCTCTGGTCCTGGGTTAAGGCGAGCGGGAAGGTTGCACAGCTGAGGAAGAGGCTTCCTGCTCCTGCCCTCCCATAAGTCACCTGAATCTTTACACCGTTTTAATCCCTCAGGTTCATTCCGTTCTGTGTGCTCTGTTGGTTGAGTGGATGTTTTATGCTTTTAAAATGTTTCTGTAGACAGAGGGCAAACCACAGCCCTCTGGAATGGAAAATGAATGGAAATTCATCTGATGGCGACAGCTTGCTGAATGTCAGTCCCTCTGTAATATGTAATATGTGCCCGGTGTGAGAAAACCGTGTTATTTACACAGGAGTCCTCACTGTGATTCCTGCATCTAAGCCTGATGTGCTCAGTGTGTGTGTGTGTGTGTGTGTGTGTGTGTGTGTGTGTGTGTGTGAACTAGTAACTCAGGAGTGAGTGCAGGCTTCCGAGGAGAGGGGCTGGTCCACCCTTCACAAACAGAAGCCAGAACTGAAGGCAGCACGGGAGGTAACCAAGGGCGTATGTCAGAGCCTGGGGGATTTTGACTCTACCAATCAAAGCAAACATTACAGCAGCTGGAAAGAGAGCCGCCTCTTGTCCTGAACTTTCAGCAGCAATAAGGCTGCACACTGTTCTGGGTGCCAGGAGTCAAAAGCAGGAGTTGGGTGCAGGAGTGAAGGCCTCAGGCACCCCAATAAACACCAGCACAGACCCACACCTGCGACCTTTTTCTCTCCCAGAGACGAGGTCTCGCTTGCAGCAGAGCTGGCCTCTCACCCTGGAATCAGTGACCTTTCCACTTCCACGTCCAGTGGAGGAGCAGACGCCTCTGCACACAGGTCAGTCCTCGTTCTGTGTCACAGGTGGCCCCTCTCACTCCCTGGTCACAGGGCTTTCTTGTTAGTGATGAGCTCCTGAGAGAAGCATCTTCTCCAGCGCCTTTGACCCTCTGCTCCTCCTGGGAGCAGTGCACAGCCCCCGAAGCCCTCCTGCTCCCCACCTGTCTTTCTGGGTGTTTCTGTGCAAATGTCACTTTGTCCCTGGTCTTCTGGGAATAACCAGCAAACACAGAACCCCACCAACTCTCCTTTCCATCTGTTTTCACCACATTTTCTACAATTGGATCTTGAAGCGTCCTGTAACCAACATGCATTACAGGGGTGATCCCCAAGGTAGAGCTACTGGGAGGTAGTACAGTGGGTGGAGATGGGCTTCGGGAGAGGTCTTTATACTCCTAGGGGGGCACATCCTTGAAGGAGACTTCAGACCTGCAGCCCACTTTCCACTTTCTTTTCCCTCCTGCTCATGATGTGGTGTGGATATTCTCTCCCATTCACTCCTGCTGAGAATTCTGTGCTTCCCAGTGTTGTGGGGCCAGCGCGTCATTCAAAACCCGAGCCAACATCATCTTCTCTCTTTACAAGCTGACTGTTCCTGGGAAAAGGTCAGGAAAACAGCACTTAGCATCATCAGACATAAGAGTTTTACAAAACTGTTTATACCCCGTCTATCATTTTACTGTAGAGATTTTGCTTTCCTTCATTGTTTTTTTAACCTTCTCTTATTTTGAAGGGAGTAAAATACAACAGGAAAAGACAGAATAAAGCCAATTGAGACAATGCAGTGAAATTGTTCCACAACTTTAGAGCAGGATACGGGGATAACAGGAATAGGTACCATAGTATATCTCCTTATCTTCACAATAGTTGTTCTTTCAATCAGGTACAACAAAATCATACCAAATACAGAACATTATAAAACCTATCAAAACAGAGTATTGAATAGAGCCATGCAATTAATCAAAACAAAGCAAAACAGTGATAACAATATTTGCCTTCAAAGAGATGGTAGAAGGAAATCCCCCGTGTTTGCTGTATTGCATGTGGTCAACCTCCAAAGAGGTGCGCAGACCTCTGGCTCTTGTTTGCTAACCTGGCGGGGATGTTTGATTCTCAGCCCACACACCGGTAGGTTCACGGCTGCCTACCAGGGAGGCGAGCAGGTTCCTTTGTTTCCCAGCACCCTAAGTTCCAACATAGTGTGGATCTTGGGAGATGCTGGCTGTTCTCTCCCTGGGGCATGCACCTCTTGCTGGAGCCATGGCTCCTTCATTGTTCATTGATTTTCGACACAATGCCTTGAACATGGGCCATTGTCAATTTATATTCCTCAAACATATGTTTTTTTCAATAAATTCTTACAATATTGACACTTTACTCATGAGATAGAACTTCTTAATGAGACATTATACTGTAGCTGGAATCTGCTAAAGGGTAAAAATCTATGCAAAACACAGAAATTATTTTCCTGACTCTAGGAGATCTGGATGGAAGTGTAGCTCAGTAGCAAGAGCCCCTAACTTGCAAGTGAGAGGCCCTGAGTTCTACCCACCTTAGTGCAAAAAGGCTAACATTCATGGGAGGTGAGTCATGCATCCTTTGGTAATGCTGCTTTTCTCACTCCATTCTTATTTTGGAAGTTATACCCAAAGCATGGAACCAGGAAATGTTACGTGGCCTTCAGAATTTCTCCTTCTGGGACTCTCAGAGGACCCAGAGCTGCAGCCCCTGGTCTACGGGCTCTTCCTCTCCATGTACCTGACCACGGTGCTCGGGAACCTGCTCATCCTCCTGGCCATCGTCTCCGACCCCCACCTGCACACGCCCATGTACTTCTTCCTCTCCAACCTGTCCTCTGTGGATGTGGGCTTCACCTCCACCACTGTGCCCAAGATGCTGGTGAACACCCAGACCCACAGCCAGCTCATTTCCTACGCAGGCTGCATCACCCAGATGTACTTTTGGATGCTTTTTTCAGGGCTGGACATCTTTCTGCTGACGGTGATGGCCTATGACCGCTACGTGGCCATCTGCTACCCCCTGCACTACACGGTTATCATGCACCGCTGGCTCTGTTTGTTGTCGGTTCTAGCCTGCTGGATCGTGGGTGTCCTGATTTCCCTGTTACACACCCTCATGGCTTTGCGTCTGTCCTTCTGCAGCCACTTGGAAATCCCACACTTCTTCTGTGAACTGGATCAGGTGGTCCACCGTGCCTGTTCTGACACCTTTCTCAATGACATGGCCATATATGTTACTGCAGTGCTGCTGGCTATCTGTCCCCTCGCTGGCATCCTGTTCTCTTACTCTAAGATAATTTCCTCCATACGTGCAGTTCCGTCAGCTCGGGGGAAGAACAAAGCATTTTCCACCTGCACCTCTCACCTCTCGGTGGTCTCCCTGTTTTACTGCATGCTCCTGGGCGTGTACCTGAGTTCTGCTGTCACCCAAGACTGGCGCTCTACTGCAGTCCCCTCGCTGATGTACACCGTGGTCACCCCCATGCTGAACCCCTTCATCTACAGTCTGAGGAACGAAGACATCAAGAGAGCGCTGAGAGGACTTCTTGGGAGGGCAACGAGCAGAGGACCAGCTGGCCCACCTCGGTAGAAATGCTTCTCATTTCGGGCCTCAAATTTTGGAGTCAGAATTTTGATCCTTTGATCAGATTGTGCAAGACGTTTTTCCCTTTACCGCCTGTAATTTCCATTTCTTTGATGTAGTTCTCTAGATAATTTAATTAAATCAATTTATTAAGTGTTCTCTTCTTTCTAGTGCCTTTTATTACTCCCCCAAACTTGTTCCCCTTCTTGGATCGGAAGTGTTTGGAAATTCTCATGTCTGCCCTGGAACAAAGCAGACTGCTTATGAAAAATTGTTATACAATAGCGTATCATGTTCAATTTATATCTTTTGTGTTCTACAGCAACTTTGAAGGATTTTGCTGTTAGTAGAGGACAATTATACTTGGCAATTAAAGTCAGCTACAAATTTGAATAAATTGATTGATTCCATATGACTTTAGAGTCTGGAATGACCTCTAATATGACCAATAAATTTTTGAAGTCGGTGAGTGTATTGCTTTGGAAAATGATTTTGAGTCTGTATTCTGTTCCTTCCCGGTGTATTGTGAAGCATTGTCCAGGTGAAGAGAATTTAATAATCTGACTTCACAGTTGGTTGGTACACATTATTGTTACACTGAGTTACCTTCTTTGTTCTGTTGGTCAGAATGTCTAGATCTGAATACAGATACTGTCCCTCACTCTAAATGAGAACCCTCATCAATATTATCCTGTATATATTCTTTTTTTCCCCCTTTCCAGTGCTGGTGATCAAACCCAGGGCTTCATGCATGCTAGCAGTGCCCTGTCACTGAGCTAACCCCGGCCCTATGCATCTCCTTTCCCCCAGGAATAGTCCAGTCTTTATGTTCTGGCTGACACAGGACTGTGTCTTCAGCCCAGTCGTGGGACTCAGAGTCACCCACTCCCTGTGCACACAGGCGTGTCCTTCCACCGTGTCTGGGGTGGAATCTCACTGCAGTCACCATGTAGTACAGTTACTTTAAATAAGCTGCATAGCAGGGTCATTATGAATCTTGTCACTAAATATACAAATAAATTTCAAGATTATTGGCGTATGGTTTTAATTATCCTCAGTTCCTTTTTCTTTTGATTATTGTATCACTTGACTATTGCTGTACAGGAAGCTGTGCTAAAATTCAGTAGTTAGGTGTGACACCATTTTCATCAAAAATGCAAGCGCACAGTTGGGGGCTCCTCTGACCACTGCTGGGCACCGCCCAAGTCTGAATCCAGGTGTGAGTTGCTACTTGGTGTTTTCAGGATCCTCCATGACATGGCAGGCAAATCTAGCGTTTCCCCTGAGCAAATGACTTCTGGCCAGTTTTTGACATTTCTGCACTGAGATTTGCTTTCAGGGCAGGCCTTCCCGGGATTCTGGTGCAGAGGTAAGTTTGGGGAGCCCTGTCCCAGGGCTTCGTTGCATCCCACACACTGTCCTTCCTTTTGCACAATCTCTGATGCCTGCTTTTGCAGTTTCTGTTCAAGGTCCACAAGAAGGAGAAGGCTCGAGACAGAAATTTGTGTGTATATACATATGAGAGCTAAGAGGAGTGCACCACAGACGGTGTTAGTTCTTGGAAGAGAACAGTTGGTGCTCCCAGGATTAGCCTTACTTTACGTGTCTGCATCTGGTAATCTAAGAACCCATTTGGAGGTCACAATATGCAATATTACACCTGTTATTAAATTCCCATCATCTGGATTTGAAAATCTATACTGTGACTGTTTAGGGTTTGTTGTTATTGTTGCTTATTTGTCTGTTTTGCTTTTTGTCTCTCTTTTCCAAGTATTTTTTCTATTAAATATGTAAATGAGGAAACTTTAAACAGAGAAAAAGAATGAAAAGTTTCTAACTCAAGAAAAATCTTTCAAGGCTTTGGCTCAAGCCAGATCTCCAGAGAAACACCGTGTTACTTAACCAGTTTTCCATCTCAGTTTATTTAGGGTGCTCCTGCATGGGTTGTCAAACAAATCTGGGGTGTGTGTGAGTGTGGGTGTGATGGCCCCTGGGAACGTCTATGATTAGTCAGAATGTCACCTTAACACACATAATCAGTTTCAAAACACAATTAGTTGAATGTTCCAGGCAAAATTGTGCAGACAGGATGGATTGCGGTCTTTATGAACCTAGCATAGTTTGACCATCATAAAGAAAGGAAAGTACCCAGTGTCCTAAAAGAAAGCGACTGGGAATACAAAATAATCTCAGAGAAAGAGAAAAGGAGGTAATTCGCACAGTGCAGTGGCATCCAGAGGGAGCTGGCGAGATGAAGGGCGGAGGGGGAGGTGCTCGGTTACTGCAGAAGTCTCCCTTCTACAGTTCTCATGTGTGCCATTTCCCTCTTTGCCTCCCCAAAACAGAAAAAGCGGTAACAATGGAATCCAGAGGGTACTGTTTTCTTAGTAGTCCAAATTCCATTTATTTTATCACCCAGTATTTTAACATAGATGAGAAAAACAAACTCCATTGTAAGGACCTATATTGTACCACACTGTCTAGAAGGACGCAAGGGTACAGCACCATTTTTAATGGATGAAATCATTCACTTTTCCTTATTTGCTTTAACTGTAATAAAATATGTGAAGATTACTTTAAGCATAAGATAGGACAGTCTCTGTGTCTTAAAATATATAAAGGAAATAAGTTCAAAGGGGAAAAGAATGATGTCATAATCTCTACATGTCAAGAAAATCTTGTTCATGAATGTTTAATGTATCATTGATAATTCCTATGAAACTTTAATTTGGGGATAATTGTAGGTTAACATGCATATGGAAGAAATAAGCCAGACAGATCCATGAATCCTTTATTCAGTTTTCCCAACAGTAACATCTCATAACACTGTGGTACAATGTCACACCCAAGGTACAGACGCTGGTTACAGTCAACACACAGGACAGCTCTGCAGAGATGCTCAGCGCTGGCCTTTGGAGAGCCTCCCTGCTTTCTTCCCTTTCCTGTCCTTGACCTAAAAGAATCACCAATCTACTCCCCGTTCCCACACTGTTATGACAGCAGAAATGTCATCTAGCATTCAAAGCCCTCTGCCCCAGAGAAATGCAGGAGTCAGTATCTCTAGAGGCTTGTTTTGCTCATGGCTCTGGTCAGCGCTTTGGACATGAGCTGAAATAAAAGCCAGGTTCTGACTGTGAGAATCATGAGTTGGTCAGATCAAAGGCAGAATTCTGGTGCTCGATTGGGCCCTGGGGTGACCACAGTCAGCAGGAAAGCACTGTACGTATCACAATTGTTAGACAGAGGACTCTAGAACTAGCTCACCATAAAGACATGATTAAGACTGAAAGTCACAGATATGTCAACAAGCCGGGCTCACGGCTCTCTAACATATGCATGAGTCAAACACCATGTTGTCTCTCATAAATATGCATTGATATTAGGTAGTGCTATAAAAATAAAAATTATAAAAATTGTAAAAATTATAAAAACCCAAGTGACTAGGCATAAAATGCACTAGCATGTTGAAGTCCACATTATCAAAAAGAGCAGTTGAGGCACTGATACACACAGGCATGACTCCCGAAGAAGCAAAGTATTGACCTCAGCTTTAGATAAATTGCACCGGTTTCCAAGGTAACTTTTTCCATATATGAAGCAAATCCCGTCACGAGCTCTTCAGTAAAATGAAAGAAACATTATGCAATAAGAGATGCAATACAGGAAGAAGCTATCTTTAAGACATTCTTGCTGATGGGTCAGGTAAGTGAGAATTTCCAAATATTTCTGGTGCAATGTTGGGAATAACATTGGGAATTTCGAAAAGCAAAAGGAAAAAACCGTGAGCTATCAGAGCAGAAAATCTAAAAGCTCGAGTTGACTAAGTCACATGGGGGGGTTGGAATCGTAGAAAAGGCAAGTCTCGGGAGTAAATACTGTGAGCAGTTCCTATGCTCATGATCTGATCTGTGAATCAGGTTTACACTTGAAGGCTTTCAAAGTCCTGCAGCCAAGAGCGTTGTCAGGCTCTGGGCAGAGTCTTCTTTTACAGGTTTTATCCAGAAAGTCTTTTTAGAGCTCTCTTGACCTCTTTATTCCTCAAGCTGTAGATGAAGGGATTCAGTGTACATCACCGAGGCTGATGCACATGAGTATGACTCCTGTGTGCAGAGCTAAGGTACACACCTAAGGCCGTGCAATAAAATAAGGAGACCACTGCGAGGTAAGATGCGCAGGTGGAAAAGGCTTTATGCCCCGCTGAGCTGAAGAGATGGCACACATGGAGGAGACGATCTTAGGGTAAGAGTACAGGATGCCAGCCGGGGAGCCAGTCCCCAACAGCACAGGTGCCAAGTGCACCACAAGGTCATTGAGTACATTCTCAGCACAGGCAAGCTGGGCCACCTGACTGTTCACAGGAGAAGTGTGGCCCTTCCAGCTCCGTGCAAAAGGACAGACACAGCACCAAGAGGCTTTGGAATGAGGTGTGCAGGATGCTCGCCATCCAGGACACCAGCACCAGCACCACACAGAGCAATGGGTACATGACGACCATGTAACTCAGGGGGTGACAGATAGCCATGAGATGGTCATAGACCATGACACCCAGGCAGAAGTTGTCCAGCTCTGCAAAGAGCAAGAGAAAGCACATCTGGGCGATGCAGCCTGGGTAGCTGATAGCCTTGCTGTGGGTCTGGATGTTCACCAGCATCCTGGGGACGCTCGTGGAGGTGAAGCCGACGTCCACAGAGGACAGGTTGGAGAGGAAGAAGTAATGGGCGTGTGCAGGTGGGGGTCGGAGACGATGGCCAGGAGGATGAGCAGGTTCCCGAGCACCGTGGTCAGGTACATGGAGAGGAAGAGCCCGTAGAGGAGGGGCTGCAGCTCTGGGTCCTCTGAGAGTCCCAGAAGGAGAAATTCTGAAGTTCTGGTGCTGTTTCCTGCTTCCTCATGGTGGGTGCAACACTGTAAGTAAAAGTCCACTTAGTAGGTGCCGTTGTGTGGATGGGTGGTAGTTTCAGGGAAAGCAGGTCGCATCAGTGCTCTGCACACAGATGCATGCTACCCATATAGTTGAAGTGCTCTTATTTACATGCTTATGTTTAGAGATAATTCTGTATGCTTTAATATCTCATACCCACAGGATTT